AAGTTGCAAGAGCTTGTCATTTCCATTTTTTTAAAAGGAGAAACAAATGTGTCTGGCTCACTCACTTTTTCCTAACTTCGAGTTTTCACCTTTAAATAAACATTATGGAGACTTGCTGACTCACAGTACTTACCTTCATCTTGGTTCTTTAAGAACCAAAAATAGTGCCACCAAGAAGGGACAAACTAACAATGAAAGTTATTTACATACACAAGTAGTATTATCACATACATACAGTTACGTCTGTTAATTGTCAAAAGTCTGCATGAGATCACCTCTAAATAAGAGTTGCTTTTTAAAATACTACACCAAATGATAAATCTAGCAACAGTTTTTAGATCTGCAGGTCAAGCCTCAGCTGATTTTCCCTTCTGGCAGGTTAGGCACACGTTCTAATGCTACCATAATACTCAGGATTTACATTAGCATTGTTGGCATCACAGCACTTAATATTTGTTGGCTTAAGTATCTCTCTTCACAATCACATGAATTTCTTGAGAACAGGGACTGTCTTGCCCATCTTGGTTTCAGTATGTGAACCAAGGTCCAGATCAGCCAGCAGATAGAAGATTCTGTGTATAGGCTTCTAGGTTTTTACTTCAGGTCTTTTCATTCCAGGGTTTAGACATCTGTAATTTCATTGTCAGAGTCATGACTAAGGCGGAAGCATCCAGCCTAGTCATTCAGAGTGAGGAACACAGGTGAGACTCCTGAAGACACAGTTATGTAAATTATGTAGATGAAAAACTGAAGGAGAGATGGGGAACCACCATGACAGCTTCCTGTCTGCTTCCAATCCTTTTCTACATTGCTGCCCAGTGAACTTTTAAAAATGCAAGTCCAATTAATGCACTTTTCTGCTTAAAACCCTTTAATACATCCAAGGGTACTTGGGATAAAGACCAAAGCTGCTTCACCTGCTGATGAAGCCTGGAGTGACTGGCTCTTCTCTCTGCCTGTTGAAGACTCTGCACTTCACCACACATGCTCTTTTTCAGTTCATTGGAACAGACGGCTCCCTCCTGCCTCAGGGCCATTGCACCTGCTCTTCCCACTGCCTGCATGTTGGAGCAGTAGCAGCCTGCCAGCCCTTCTGCTGTCTTTGGCTGCCGGCCTCTTTTGTTTGGCCAGCTCAGAGATTATTAAAGTGTGAATCCAAATGCCTTAAGGCCAGTCAACTTCTTCCGGTCTGCCTAGAGCCTTAATGTTTTCATCAGTCTTACCCTGCCAAATGTTACCTGACTGCCACCCAGAAGGAATTTGAGTATGCAATCCTTGGACTGATTAATTCCTACAAATCAGCCAGTAATCTGCACAAATGTCACTTTCTCAAGGAAGACTTCACAGCCCTACATTCTCAAAGTATCTTGTACTTTTCTTCATAGCACTCATCTCAATTGTCATTAAATAATTGATTGAGTAATTAGGTGTTTAAAACCTATCTTCCTGGCAAAGAATCTTGTCTTTTCACCATTTCTTTACATACAGAAGGCACTCATTTATTGAATAGATGAATGAGCGACAGAACTGAAGTATTCTAAAACAATAATATAAATAATTCTCTAAAAGCTTTAAATGAAAAGTATGGGCAAACATTTTTCTGAGATTTACTTGAGCTTAATTCTTCCAGTAGACACTGGGATCCCTTAACTCTGAGATGATAATATTGTGTGAAGTTTATAAGGACAGCGATTTCATATGAATGTACCATGTTCCATTGGACAGAAGTAACGGGGAAGCAGAAGGCTGCAGGCTCCCTAAAATTAAACTGGAACATGACTGTTCTTTTCATTATTCATCTTCTAGCTTTTATGTAAAGATAATGGACTTCTGCACAAGATTTGTCTGAACAAATCTTTCATTAGTGCTGGGACTATGTCTGTCTTATAGATTGTGATATCATAGCCCCCCAAATGGCGCCTACCACTGAGTATGTGATCAATAGATATTGGTTGAATGATATATATGTATGATAACCTACTTGTGGGTGAAGATATATTTTCAAAGTTAGGATCAGATTTCTACTGTATTTCAGAATCAGGAAATGGCAAAGCTGTTCCATTGCAGGTAGTGTTGTAAGCATTACCTGCCACAGTATGCTGTTTCTTTCATTCATCCAATCCAATTGCAAAATCAAACCAAATAACCACCCCTTCCCTAAATGATATTAATGCCGGCCTTTCAAATGCATTTCAAATCCTT